TGGAGGAGTGCGAGACCTCAAATCCAATTATCTACTCAAAGCTGAATATAACAAAGAAACAAACCAGGAAAATAAATTGTGCTCTTCCTCTTCCCCCCTGGGTGGGGGACCCTGTTGTCCTCCCTCCTCTTCCTCTCTAGCTATATTTTGTAGGCGTGTACATTAGTACACGGAGTCACTTTTTATTTAACTTGTTGCCTGCTACATGGGGCCTATTTGAATTAGAAATGGGAGATGGCATTTTGTAGGTCCTCTTGGTCTTGTGTCAATATGTATAGACAAAAGCACATATACCTTGCTATCCGGAGATTGTGTTACAGGAGGGCTTGAACATGTTTTTCACATCTGTTTTTACACTGACAACTTCAGCTGCTAATCTGAAATTGTGTTTTTGTTTGTCCTTTAAGGTTAATTAATTATTGCCCTACTATTGTATCCAGCCAGGTAGAGCATAAATGTTCTCTTTTAACCATGGAAAACCCCCCTGATATATTTACTGATGCTGTGTCCAACCAGATAGTGCATAAATTTCTTGATGATTTCATTACGGTGAAATTTCATGCAGTCTGAGAATTTTGTTCTGATCAGATGGGCAAATGTCCAAAGGAGTTGGAACTAGTTTTCTCTAGAGCGAACTTGTCATCAACATTTATGTAACAAAATTAGATGACTGGTCGCTCTTGATGTTGTTTTGATGTCTTTTAATGTTTTTCTCGTTCAATTTTAAGGTGGTGCAACTCCTACTGTTGTTCATCTCTATAGTCAAGATTATATGCCTTACCTCTTTAGAAATTGTAGTCAAGATTTTTTTTTTCTGCTTAGAAATTTTGAGTTTTGTGTGATGTTTTTTTTTTTTTTGGGCAAATGCTTCCTCTTTTCTCTCCAAAATTGCGGAGTGACTCCCTCTCTCACTTGCTTTAGAAGACGGGAGGTCACCACGTCTTTCTTGGTTTCGGCCCTAATCCGTTGGGAGATACAAATGACTCTCTCCAAATTTGTTTTTTTTTTTTTTTTTTTTTTTTTTTTTTGGGGGGGGGGGGGGGGTGTTTTGCATTTCTTTTGGGGTTTGGAGTTGAACTACTTGCAGATCAATGCAATGCTACTCTATGCTGTGTTTCCCCAACCAAGATGCTTTGCAATAAGTTTGGTTTTCTAAGATTCCTGGTTTTACTTGGAACTTTGTTTGACTCCTTTCAAGGAAATCAATTCCTAAAATTGTGGTACTTTTTGGAACTTTTACTTCTACCGTGATAGTTGTTGATGTACTGTTGTTTATATGAAATCGTGTTTTAAAATCCACACTTTTCATACAAACAGGAGTTCATATTGAAAGTATTGGTTTAAACCACGCCTCTCTCTCTAATTATCTTCTTGTCGGATCAAATGAGACTCGATTTGTACAAGCGGGTCCCTTAATCATTAAAAAGTAGATGATTTGTGGATAAGAGAATTAAAAATATATATATATATTGGAGGAAATCTGGATGCATATTTGGTATTGGCTGGCAGAGCTTGGAGGCATGTGTTCTGTATTCTTTGTTGTGGGCCAATGTTGACATTTGCTAGAATTCGGAGAAACCTGGTCCTAGGTTTCTTAATTAAGATCAATGGTCGGGAGAAGCCCGATGGCTCTCAACACTAATGGACAGCCCACTGCGTCACGTGGCTGGGCTGCATTGTTGTTTTTTTTTTTTTTATATTATTGTCAAAAATTTCTTTTTATTGTTCTATATTTATGTTCGCGCGCGATATCAGATATACTACTCTACTACCATTATGTTAAAAGTCTTTTCTTTCCTTCAATAGGATGGAAAATGAATAGTATATTCATAATCTTAGATGACCTGCAGCGCTTTATTTAATTGCTCCGTCATAAAAAAAAAAAAAAGGAAGGAAAAATACATAAATAAATGATAACAAACTCATCAACTATATGGTCGATTAGGGGTGAGGATCCTCTGCTGTTAAAAAATCAATAACAAATGTATTGATTGAAACAACATCGTTTCGTTTGCACCAAAATGATGCAGTTTAATCAACAGTAGAGGAGCTAGACCCGGTGGAACAGAGGGCAATGGCAAGAAATCCATGATTAGCAGGAAACAAGGCGCACACAGTAAACTATCATGTAAAGGTTGTGGATAGCAAACTGAAGTATGAAAATCAGGGCCACTGAGGGGATGTTACAGAAGTTTGATTGTTCTGGTCTCAATCAAAAGAAATGTTAGCATGAATCCAGTGAATCCCACACGGTGGAGTCAATATTACTAAAACAATATCACGATTAGATAATACATATGCACGATATGCTTATAGCAAACAAGATTTAATAAACTACCACAAATGCCTGTGTTGGGTACGCTCTACATCTGTGATGCTTTGTTATTACATTTTTAATCTTAAACACGAGTTTTAAAATTAGATAACCAATCAAAACATTGCTTAATCAACACCATCACATTCCTGAATTAGCATGTTCATTTCGGGGCGGCATGACATGATCTATTTTAATCTCATTATTTGGTCAATCTAACATTGTCCAAGTTGAAAAGGCAACAGACTAGTGAGCTAAGCCTTTTTGCCACACCACATCCTTCATCTATATAAACACATCAAGCAATGCATGCTCAATCCAATCTTAAGCACTTTGTTTGCATCTCTCCTTTTCATCTGCTCTACCAATTGCTCATTTCCACACCAACCTTTTCTCTTTATACTTCTAGTTCTCATATTATCTTCAATGAACAAAGACAAAATCACGACAGAGGCGCGCCATCTTTTGGCGACAACAGTACCTGAGATTCCAAAGCCAGAACTGCCACCACTGCCTAAAGTGGAACTGCCACCATTACCATATATACCAACTTTGCCAAAGCTGGAACTGCCGGAACCGCTGGAGCTTCCAAAACCCGAACTGCCGGAGATGCCAATATTGCCCATTGTACCAACTTTGCCAAAGCTGGAAGTGCCGGAACTGCCACCTCTGCAGAAATTGCCTGACCTGCCTAAGCCCACATTGCCAACCATCCCTACACAGCCTAAGGACATACCCATTCCTTCATTCTCTGGACCTCACTCAACTACTGAGCTTTGAATACAAATAAAAAATAATTTTAGTGTACGAGATTCCCATTACGGTTGGACCTTGGGAGTGTTAGATATCCACTACTTTAGTTTGCATGCGGAGAGACTATGTTTTATTATATTATCATGGTAAAAGTGTAATTTGATTTATGCTTTTCGTTTATGGGGATTATACACTAACAGATTGGATTATATGTATAATGAGGTAACAGTTGATGTTGTTATCAGCTCACTTTGTTGTCAATCACCTCTTCATTTGTCAAACGAACCAAACAAGCGTTCATTTTCAAAATTTGTCTATGCAATAAATTTTTTGGCTTATGAATATTTATATTATAAGTATAACTGAGCAGAGTATTGTCTTGATCACGAATCTAAACTTGAGTTTAAGCTTGAATATAAGCTTGAGCACGACTTGTTGAATCAGATGAAAGAAGTCAAGCTAAGGTAGAGTTTGAAGAAGAAAAAATCAATGAGCCGAGCAAGATGTTTAAAGCTCGTCATGATTTTGATCCGATCTCGGATACACTCACCAAACGAACATATCGAGTCTGAATAATATGATATGCTCAGCTTGTTTCAGTTCATTTACAACCCATCCACAATTGCTAATTCAATCCAATTCTTTCTCTTTTTTTTTTCTTTTGTTCTAGTTGTGCAATTTGAGCCACGTTACTGCAATGCAAGAATAAGACAAGAAAGTATTGTAAAACCCCGACCCATTTCAACACCCATGTAAATCCAAAAACTTTAAAATGAAAATTCTTGCTCAAAGTTTCTCTTTATCGTTCTAATTTTATCGGATGTTACCAAAGTTTATTCATTATTTGGATATTATATCCTTTAGTATTATGAAGGCTGTTAACACTCCGAATATAATTATGGAAATGAATCAGAGTTTTACAAAATTCAACAGTCATCAACAACCAAATAGGTATATTTCGTTACCTAAAGATTCTGATAATGACGAAAAATAAATTTGTGGCTAAAATAAACTTTCTACGAGAAAATATATTTGTCACTAAAGTATGACTTTCTTTAATAAATAAATCACTTCCATATATTATGACTAATGATAAAAGGTGATATTAGCTAGAATTATTTTATATTTCCAAAAAATCTATACTGCTAACAAAAGTACCTTAAGATGAAAAATTTTTGAATCTATATTTTACTTTTATAAAAAAATGCAAATATCGCTCCATCTTTTTACAATTAAGTAATTTAGATACCATCATATTCTTATGTATTTAAATATCTAAATTATCTATAACATATCTTTTAATTATCTATTCTCTTTGTATAAATATCAGTTTGTATAAAACTTTTGATTGACTATATTATTTTTAAAAATATATATTGCATTATTACATTTTCAATAAAGTGTTCAAAAAATCTTGAAAAACTCCATCAATTTATTATTACTCATCTCATATACAAAATTAAAATTATATCTACATATATGTATTTTCTTTTAAACCAAAAATTTAACTGTTTTATTTCTACGATAAAAAATAATCATATATATAGTTTTTTTTAAATTAATTTATGTTACATCAATATAATTCTTCACTCATAATAAATTTATTAAGTTGTACTAAGATTTTATATAAAAATAGATATTATAGTGTATTTTTAAGTAAAACTTAATTTTTTTAGAATTTTATATGCTTGAAAACATATATTATATAGTAGTATATTAAATCTTATCTGATTTGACCTAATTAATTCCTATTTACGGTAAGGTTCCAATGTGATTAGTATATTGAAAATTGTTTTTATTTTATGCAACTAATTATAAGTGGAATCCAAATCAAATGAATTTCAAAAAAACTAATTTCTCAAACATTACTAAAAAATAATATCAATCACAAAATTCTATAAAAATAGAATTTTAACTATTTGTTTTTATAGTTAGAATAAAGAATTGTGAGAACATACAAAGTTTTTATATTCTTATAATAAAATATGAGTAATAAAAAATTAAATTTAATAAATTTAAGATGATATTTAATTTAGATACATATATATCTAATATGTTTTATTATTTTTTGTGTATAAAAATTATTCATATACAATGCACGTGATGCATTACTAGTACACTAAGATATGTAAAACATTATTATTTCTTAAAATTTGTTTGGAAGGACAAGTTTGATCTAATAATAATAATGACGTGGCATCATAAATACTTTAATTCCAGTGTAGATGACATGTCTTTGATCGAATCGAAAAAAAAACTTGATAAAAAAAACAATAAAAAAATGTCTTAGGATGTACGAAAGATTGTTCAAATACCCTGATAAAAAAAACAATAAAAAAAGAAGCCATTATTTGTGGTTAGTACTGTGACTTCTTTTTTGGGTTAATCTCATTTTATATCCTGAAAGATTGTTCGAATTTCAATTTGCACCCTTAAAGATCAAAAATCTCAATTTACACCCTCAAAGATAGAAATTTGTATCAATGTGCACCCCCAAAGATCAAAAATCTCAATTTGCACCCTCAAAGATAGAAATTTGTATCAATGTGCATCCCCAAAGATAAAAAATCTCAATTTGCACCTTCAAAGATAGAAATTTGTATCAATGTGCACCTAAAATTAAATTAATAAATTATATCTTGATCCCCTCATGTTTGTCACTTAATCATTTGAACTCCTTCACATTTAGAATATTCCCCTTACATCTCATGACGTTTATGCATGTGTAACACATAACCACTTTTCGTTGATATATATTAATATAATCGTTAAAAAATATGATTTTATCCTAATATAAAATTATAATTTTATATTACCTTTTATTTTATGGATTTAATATACTCTAAAGTTAAAAATCAAGCTTACCATTTGAATGTTTAATAAAATGTAGATATTTATATAAAAGGTAATATGAAAAATATTATATAAATATTTATATTTTATTAGACATTCAAATGGTAAAGTAGATTTTGAACTTTATAGTATATTGAATCTATAAAATAAAGGGTAATATAAAATTATAATTTTTTATTAGGATAAAATTATATTTTTTAACGGTTATATTAATAGATATCAATGAAAATGAGTTACATGTTATACGTGCACAAATGTCATAAGATGTAGGAGTAATATTCTAAATGTGAAGAGGTCTAAATGATTAACTGAAAAATATGAGGGGATTTAGGTATAATTTATCAATTTAATTTTAGGTGCACATTGATACAAATTTCTATCTTTGAGGGTGTAAATTGAGATTTTTGATTTTTGAGGGTGCACATTGATACAAATTTCTACCTTTAAGGGTGTAAATTGAGATTTTTGATCTTTGAGAGTATAAATTGAGATTCGAATAATCTTTCAGAGTACAAAATGAGATTAACCCTTCTTTTTTTAACCTTGGAGAGGCTTGCTCTTTGGGACTCACTTAGGTTTTTGAAAGTTATTTAGAGATGGACAACCATAAAGACGGCTTTTAAAAGGAATGAAGGTGGGGTGGCTTTATGAAATCTTATTGTTTCTCCTGCAATCCCCGACTGCCCCCCCCCCCCCCCCCCAGCTAACTGACAAAATGCCTCACCCAGGTTCATCTCAGTCGCAGCACCTCTTGGTTTATGGATACATTTTTAGTCCATATCGAAAAGGGTTAATTGGATTTTGCCCCTTCCCCCTCAAATTATGAGAGTTGTGTCACTTTCACCTAATAACTCACATCACCCAAAAGATCATTTAAAATTTGACGGAAAATTGTTTCACTTTACCTCGGAATTATGTGATTTCGTTTTACTATGCCCCAAAATGTTGATATATTTTTCGTCCAAAAGATAGCGAACATTTTCATTATGGGCAATGTGAAATCATTTCAAATAGTCGAGGGAGCAATATAAAATATTCAATAGTTAAGTGGGCAAAGTGACACAAATCTTACCGTTTGAAAGAAAAGTATAATTAGCCCCATAAAATACACTCTCCCTCCTATTTAGATCATTATTTCTCTAAGAAAAAATATTATTTAGACTTAATTTGAGGACCTAACCTGATGACTTAATTCAATGCAATTATTGAATCAAAAATGAATTTCATTTAACAGTGGAACTCACTATTAATCTTTTGACTGTTCTTTCTCTAATTGTGTTACTTCATTTTTTATTTCCATGGTACACTCAATGATGAATGTTTCAATTGTTAATAAAATAATACCTTGTGATATTTGATTAAATATACTTTGGTCTTAAAAAAAAAAACATAATTAATGATTGGCCCTTATAAAAAAAAAAACATAATTAATGATTGGCATTTAATTTGAGGCCCTCGTCGCATTTTTTGTTAGCGATGATGACAACCATTTAAAGTGAACTTTGAAAATTTATAGTCGACAAGTTAGTAGGTGATAACAACTAAGAGTGATTTAATTATTTAAATAAAAATAAAAAATTTGGACTAATTGCACTAAATTAAGGTCTTTAAAATATGAAATTTGTCTTATTTTAGTTTTCAATACTTTAATTGAATTATTTTATACTCTAAAATATTTTGAATAGATTTCAATGTGGTCATTCAAGTATACAACAACATTCAGATTGCTAACGATTTTTTATTATAAATTTGTCACTTAATACTTAAATATGAAAAAAATAATAATAATTTAAATAACAGTTGACCAAATTTTTACCCAAATTTTGGTTAAAGAACTACCTAAATTATATAATTTTGATCAAAAGTTACTCATATTACACATTTTTTTATCAAGAGTTATCCAAAATTTTGTTAAAAACTACCCAAATTATTTTTCGCACATATTAAGGTATTACATGACAAATTTATGATAAAATTTTTTTTTAGCAATTTGGATATTGTTTGCTTCAGAGATCACATATTTCATAGACCAAAATAATATAATTGAAATATTTGGGGTTAAAATGACATAAACTCTAATTGTAATGCTTAAGTGAAACAATTGAAAGTAAAGGGGCCTAAAATAAGACGAACCTCATAATTCTACGATATATATGCTTAGCAACTATAGCTTTATATGAGTACACAATTTCTTGCATGCTTTGATCTTTTCATATAGATTGAGAGACCCACCTTCTTCCCATTCAACATGGCCTCTTGCAAGTTCTTCCTTGTGTTCATCTTCGTCGCCTGGACAATTTCCGGCACCGGCCAAGCTATGGCGGCTCGTCGTCTTTTGGCACCAACTTTGCCAAAGCTGCCATCGTTCCGGCCATATCTTTCCATTCCCACCACGCCAACTTTCAAGTTTCCTCCACTGCCACCAACTACAATTCCGACAGTCCCGGGCACTGTTCCCTACGTTCCGATCCTCCCAACTCCCTCTACCACGACCACCAGCCCTTGAATATCTCCGGTTTCGTGGTGGATTGATATGCTTGTTTGTTGCTGTACTACATATATATGTGTGTGTGTGTGTGAGCTTTATGTCATGTATTTCTATTTGCTTTGTAAATCTTTAGAGTTTCTTCTTCAGTAAAGTATGTATTTGTGATAAAAATCAAATTGTGAAAAATTATTGGCTTATTTTGATTTCTATTGTGTACTCTAGTTCAGGAGTTCTCTCTTGGCTATTGCTGCAACCCCACCCCTACCCACCCAACCCACCAAAAGCGGGGTGAGATTGGAATGATTGTTATATGATACGGAATACGGATACTCCGTTCAATGTTGATGCATCTATATCGAATATCATACTAGATATAATATCTGTCGAATATTCAAAAATGTGTATCGGATATACATTAAACGTATACAATTTTTAAAAAAATGTGTATATATTTCACAGATACTTTTACATGCATAGAAATATGTATAATTTTTAATTTTAATCTTTACCTCTTTCTTTTGATTTCACATACAATATAATACATCAATCAAAATTCTTTTGACTTAGAATACATGGGTGTTTTTCAAGTATTATCTATTATCGCATATCCAAAAATTATAAATGAATTGATTATTGAATAATCTTAGCAACAAATAATTTCTAAGCAAATAATATAGTTAAATGTTTTTTCTTATTTATTCCTTTAATTAATCAACTCATTTTGTAGATGTATCATAGTGAGATGATAGACAATTTTTTAAAAATAGAAAATTATTAATATTGTTTGTTATTTTTAAAGAATTATTAAAAATTATATATATCAAGTGATTGCATAATAGTACAAATATAAAGTATATATATTTATAGATATATTCCGGCAGTACTTGTATTCTATTTTTTGGCATTTTATCGTATTGTCGTATCCGTATCGTATTATATCCGTATCTCATATTCGTATTATATCGTACTCATATTTCATATCCATATCTCGTATCTCTATCATATTATATTCATATTCGAGCTTCTTAAATTATATGATATATCTATAGAAAAATGTTGTGCATTCCAAATTAGTGTTTCAAATCGTGAATGATGTGGTTAACTCATGACCGTGAAATACTTTTGGGGGCCGCTTATTTGTTTGTGAGGGGAGTTGGCTGCGGTACAGCCGGAGAGCTCGTCGGTACCATATCGAAATTTATCAAATTTATGATAATTTTTATTATATTTGTGGTTATTTTTATTATCGTAATTGTACATAAAAAATAAAAAATAAAAATATATATCATAATAGTAGTAAAAACATCTACAAATATGGTAAAAACACCCACAAATGTGATAAATCACCTATAAAAGTGATAAATTATTTTGTACTTAAAAAAAGTGGTAAAAATATTTACCATAAATGTGATAAAAATACACACAACAAAAATAAAAATACTCATAAAAGTAATAAATCAACTACAAAAGTGATAAATTTTTTAGTTATAAAATTAATCACAAAAATTATAAAAATACCCTTCAAAATCTGTAAATTTTAGGGGTATGGTATCAAAATTTTTTTGACGATACCGTACTCAAATCCAAACTTGGGATATATAGAAAAGTTTACGGCTACCCTAATGATTTGGCCTTCTTTTGAAGCCCAACAACGATGATCATCAGCATTAATGCATGAAAAATATACACTTGAACCAACTATTTGGATCCTTTGTGAGTATATATATGGTGCTTATCTTTATTGGCAAAACAGTTGCAGGGAAGGGAATACCTTTAAAATGGAAGAAAATGATTGTTCTTTGTGGGAATCCCAAATACAGGTTCCAACTAGTCGGGGGTCAGAGAGAGCAACTATAAATATTCCCCTCACAGTCTAGAAAATGATATAATTTTTTGACACAACCCAAAAAAAAATGACGTAACTCGACACGAACTCAAGAATATTACGGCTTAAACCCAAAAACATTAAATAAATTGGTTAGGTGTCAAATTGGAATTACTCTTTTAGCAAATGTAGCTCATTTGGTTGTACTATCATTTTCTTTATTTTTGTTTTTTTTCAATTCCTTGTGTTGTGATTGTGCAGTAATTATGGTGAATAGTAAGGAATCAAACAATTAAGAAAGCAGGAGAAAATAACACACAGAGATTTACGTGGTTCGACAATATGCTTACATCCACGAGAGCGAGCGACCGTTTTTTTTCATTATTCAAGTAGAGTTACATCTTAAGTATTTATATAACCCTAATATGGACGTATTTACAAAAATACTCATGTACCGTACCGCGGGGGCGTTGCCTCCGCACCCCCAACTAATCAACATCCCCTTTATATAAATTCTGCAAGGAGGCAGATGCCGTCACGGGCTCCGCCGGCTCCGGCATCTGCCTCCTTGCTATTATGCACACAGCAAATATAAGCTACACATACTCTAACACCTTGATCTAATGTTGCATATGGATCAAGTAGATTTCTACTTTATGAGGACTTGTGCATAGTAGATTTAATGTAATTCTAATCATGGGTTTCATATTAAGGGTCATTTGTGTTTATATCACTCAAAAATGACACAACTCAAATATAACAAAAATTATATAATTCAATTTCTATCTTATTCTCAAGTTAACGTGTGTCCTCAACTGTCTTGCAGTCTTGAATATGTAGTCAAAAATACTTCACCTCACCTTTCTAGTAGCTTGCAAAGGCTAAGTGCCTACAATTATTTATCAACAAGTCGTGTTCCGTACAAAACACGTTTTTTTTAATGTATAAGTTGAGTTATTATAGTTAAAATTTAAGTGAATTACTGTGGTTAAAATATTAAAAATTAAAATTTAAATGATTTATTATAATTTAAAGGTTAAAAGTTAAAATTTAAATGAGTTGTCATGATTAAAAAATTAAATTGTCATATAAATCGTCGGATCTAAATGATCTAGACCGTTATTTTATTTTCCTAATTGAGGAGTTTAAGTAGATTAAAAAGGAGACTCTGTGTTTATTATTATAGATGAACTTCCTTTTAGAGGACAATACTCTTAGGAATTTATTTTTTTAAGTACTTTTGACTTTTTTTAGAATTTTGATATTACTTTTTTAAGTGATGTTTGTTTTAGAATTCACAATCCCTTTTTTCTTGCCTGAATTTATTCCCTCCTTTAAAGATTAAGAGCATATCTAGCAGTAAATGTAAACAGGTACGAATGAATCATTTTGTATACTAAATATATAGATCACTTTTGTCTATTAATATTTAAGTATTTTTCTAAATAATTTTAAAAAAGAATACAAAACAATAAATGGAACTCCGCAGAGTCACTAGCGAGTATCAAAATTTTGTTTCAAAATGGTCATAATGACCAATATATTTTTGTTTTAAAGAGACTCGAAACGAATAAGTGATTGAATCGAATTTTCAATGTTTTCGAGGTGTGATAGACTATCTTGCAGTGTTTTCGATTTGTTTAGAGGTGTTTTCATAAATATTTTTAGACTGTTTTAATGTATTTTAATATATTTTGATCAATATTTTATTTTTTTTAATTAAATTATTAATTTTTTATTTGTTTTCAATCTATTTCCAAAACATTTTTAAAACTAATCAAAATAATCCACAAAAACAAAATTTTACTCCTTGTCGTCTTGATATCCTAAGATATTTATATTTTTCAATTAAAATGCTAATTATTAAATCAATTTTGGAACAAAAAATCCTTTTATATTTTGTCAAGTAAGAAAATAAAAATGATTACAGCAAGATATTTGTGACAGAATTGCATACAAAGAAAGGATAACATCATCTATTAGTTTCAAAAGCAAAATTGGATGGCAGGATGTGGCTTTTAAATAAATGGGTTTTAAAAATAAATAAATGGATTTTTAATTTTTAGTTACAAATTATGCCCTCCAAATTTCAAATTGGTTTTTAATTATAATAAATTCTCTCTTAAAAATTTCAAGTGAATTAAATTGACTTATATCATTAATTGAAGTATGAAAGTACTATTATGCCCTCAATCTTTCCATTATCTCCTAACAATTTTTTTTGGTACCGCCCACCATTGGTGGTGGAGGTTTAATAATGTGGTTTTTTTTTTTTAAATAAAAACTTAAGAGGGTATTGGAGGTTTTGAGGCCCAGCTGCTTGTGGGTAGCAGCAGAGAAAGAGAGTGTGGTGGAGATTTTGGAAGTTTAATGGGTGAAAAAAGATAGGGTAAATTATACTGACACTCCATGATATTTAATTTTATTACACAGACACCCCTCATATTTTAAAAATGGCATCGAACTCCCTTGACCTTTAATGCTTGTAACAATCATACTACATCTAACTAACAGACGATAGAATTATTCAGAGTCAAACTTTATGTCATCAATAATAATTCCTAAAATACCAAAAATATCCTCCAAAATAAAATATTTTTCTTACCCTACAAATTTACCCAACCTCTCATTTATTTTTTTTAACACTAAAATGTTTAATTTCCTAATCTATTACATTAATAAGTTAATTTTTAATTTTTTTTTTGTTTATTAAATAATATTTGGGATTATTAATATAGTTTAAAAAATAATCAATTTTTTAAAAATCTTAATAATTACCTATCCAATTATCCTATATTACTTTTTTTATTTTTTATTTATCTAATTACATAAATTCCTACTCCTGCCACTCATCACCATCGATTTCTACCAAAACTTCCAAACTTAACCAAACCCACCACCAGCACACACAGAGAGAAGATAAGCTAAAACCACAATCTATTGAAACCACCTCTGCCTCCACCACCATTTGAACAAAAACTTATCATCAACCAACACTACTACATCGCAGAGGTTAGGGTTTTAAAATCTACCTGCCACCACCGCCTTCACACTATCTCTCTCTCACTGCCTTTTCCATACTAAAAGCCACCTGCAACCACCACTTAAAAGTATCGATCATAGAGAAATAGGGGAGAGCGAGAGAGTTGGAGATCACAAACTTTAGGTAAAGATCCACTTATGCACTAGTTGGAAATCAAATCTTATGGAGAGCGATAATGTTGATGGATCTGTTTGTCTCCGGTAGGATATCGGTGGTGGGTGTTGGTGAAAATAGGCAGGAGATAGGGGTTAATAAGGGTGTTGTGGTTGCGTCGCTCGGTGTTGGCGTCGGTTATTAGGGGGTCCTAAATCCTAATACGTCTTAAGAGAGAGAGGGATCATCAATTGTTAGGGGTTTTGATTCATCGTGAGAGAGAGAAAGTGTGTGTGTGTGTGTGTGAGGTCAGCTTTAAGGGTAAAGGAGGAAGGGTCTTGGGTCTTGGGTCTTGGTTATTGGGTCTGGATGAGTAGTTGATGTGAGGGTAAAATGGTCTTTTTGTTTGTACTACTAATAACGTTCATTTTATGGGGTCTTAGTGTAGTTTTGAAAATGTGAGGAGGTGTCTGTATAATAAAATTAAATATCAAAGGGTGTTAATATAATTTATCCAAAAAGATATTTTGGGATGAGAATAATTCCACCCATGTAATTAGGCTTCTTAATTGTGTTGGGTGAAACAGGTCCATGTCAAAAAATATTTTATCCATATTCGATTGATTTATTAATTCACGTCTAACAAATCATATCGAATTTGTATTGTGTATGAACCGTGTATAACTAATATATAAACGAGTTGTATCATATATTTTTTTTGATTTACTTAATTTATATCTGATTTATTTATTAATCGTATTGTGTTAGATTCACTCGTTTACTAAACAGATAACTTAAAGAAATAAATTTTTTAATTTTTTATTTTGTTCATACAACGTTAAGGAGGCGTGTTTTTTGACACGCTTACATGTAATTTTTATTGTGTTCATAGTGTTAACGAGACGTGAATTTTGACACGCTTACATGTAATATTCGTTTCTCTTGAACCGAGCATAAAACCTATAAAAACCAATCCTAATTTGCTAATTTGGCTAATCTTCTCGCAGTCTGCGACCTCTCTGCCCTCTCACCGCCTCCCCCACGCCATCCTCCACCCACAAACCCCGCCACCCCCACGCCCAAACCAACTCGCGACGCCTGAACCTCCTCTTTCTCTATCTTCTCTCCCTGTTGCTCTCGTTGCCGCTCATCACCACCGCTTTTCTAATCGTCTCCCGTACTTTTGCACCAACTGGTGGGAAGCTTCACTTTAATGCAGATGAGCGGTGGTCCGTCGGTCCAGTTCTAGTTTTTTTTTGATATCAAGACTGTTTCTTTGAATGAATTGCTTAACTTCTTCGACTTGGGAAGATTTGATGATCGTTTGGTAATTTATTTTGTTGGTGGATTTGATGTGTTTGGGCGAATTTTTTGTGAATTCTGTTGATGGCAGTTTAGATGTGATTGGGTGGTTTGGACCAATTTGAAAACTTGCTCTTTCGTTTTGTTTGGATTGGGGTTCTAATATCACTGGAGACTGGAGCTTGGGTTTTTAGAGGGTTCTAGGGTTTCTGATTTGAGTGCAAGATATCTTTTCCTCAGGGTTGTATTTTGTGTTTTTTTTTTAAATTGGAAAAGGAATAAAAAGTATAAATTTGGAACTGTTAATCAAATACGAGGAAAAGATTGGTTCTTTCCATTTTCTTGGAAAGTTTGTTTTTCTTTGAGACTAAACTATCAGAGATATGGAAATTTTTTCTTTTCTTTATATTCCATTGCAATTCTTTGCACCCAAAGAGAAGGTTGGATGTAACTTTCAACTGTTGTTTTTTCTTCAAAAAGTTATTGAGTTAAATCCAATTTTTGGAATGCAGGTCGTTCTAATTATAAATGCGTTTGTATGTTGCAGAGTTTTTGATGTAACATGGGGTATGATTCTGGAAGCACCTCCCATGATGGCCGGGATGAAGGTAACTTAAGTTGTTATCGTGCTTCTAAATGAGCTATTTTTGTTGACACAATGAATTTTTAATGATGTTCACTTACTAGAGGAAATAAAATTTGAAGTGTGTGTGCTCTGGCAAACAACTTTCTCTGTCCCTCATCTTTAGAGCAAAATATGTGATGACATACTATGGGAGTTACTTTTTTGTATAATGAACATGATGAAAGACAATAGTTTTTACTCATTCTGGGACAATTTTTTTTTTTTTTTAAAAACTTGAAAGCCTTAGAACAAACATTAGTTTGGTGCAGGGTCACTCTTACCTTTCACTGCCCTTAAGCAGTGAAATCCTCTTCTCATCCCACCCCAGAGCTCTGTTGGGTTCACAGGCCTCTTCCTTGATATTCTGGTTCTGCTTCGCCCCAACCTGAAACAGTTGGTTTGCTTCTGTCACATCTGCAATTAGTTGTTCCACAAGTGTGGGCGAGTAAAAGGCAAAGACTAGTCCAAAACCAGCAATTGGACCAGTACAAAGGAATCCCATACTTTAACCTAGAATAAAAGAAGGAAGATGCAGGGGATTTTTAGAACAATTAAAGCAAACATGTACAAGTATTTGGATTATAGATCGTGATACGTGGAACCCTTGGTGACAATTAATGTGAAATGAGGAAGCAAAAAAAGGTATTTATGTAGTGATATGTAAATCCATTGGTGACAAGTTGTGAAGTGTGGAAACAAAAACGATAGAGGGAGGAAGAGATAAACCCAGGAAGTGTTGTCCAAGACCACTGCAAGAAGATTGAGACCTAGAGAGGTGCTGTTTGTTGTTTAAACTTTTCCTGATATAATGTACCTTCACTGTGTGAGTAAGCCTTAGAGGCTTTGTGGACAAAATAAGATTTGTCTTCACACATCAGAAATACGGGCATTATGAGAAATAAAATGTTTCTGAGTGTGCTAAGGTGGGGACAAGATGAGTTGACCCTCACCTTATCTTGACCTGAATTCAAAATTGGTTTTAAGCAACCCTTACCAGGTTATTGACCCTCAAATCTATTTTGTTGCTGTAGGGGAGGCTTTCTGACATTTGGTCAAATCATTATTGCTGCTGCACACATACCATGTCTAAGATGCTTATGAGTTATAACTTAGAATTAGATGGCTCATGCTCTCAATAACAATTCCGTATTGTTCAATGCATCATTTTCGTAGCACATTGGTCAAATTATTTGGCATGACACTTTGAACGTTATTGAAACATTGATTTTGCAGATGATGAGGATGAATATGAGGAGGCTGGTGGGGGTAACCGTCTTTTGGGATTTATGTTTGGAAATGTTGACGGCTCTGGTGATCTTGATGTTGATTACCTTGATGAGGTATTATCTCATTCTTTTTATATTTCATTTGTTTTTTTTCCTGTTCTGGTATGACAGAAATGAACAAAAAAGGTATTCAATTGTATATACATCTATACATGTATGCTTAAGTTTTTCTTTTCCCTCACTTTTCAGTATTGTTATATCTGTATATACTGACAAACATACAGACAAGCACACATGCATATTGTTGGATGAATAATCTATGCATAATACATGTATATTGTCCACTATGATTTTTGTGCCATTAGATATATCATTTGTCATTTGTATCCTTTTAGAAAATGGTCCATTTTGATTATTTTGTGGAATTCAATTGTTCTGTCTTTTGATTTTTTTTTGCCCACCAAAGTAGTATTTTTTGGGTGGGTAAGGGGAACCCCAAGTTTATCTGGTTGTTAAGCTTGTCGAAAAGTTTATCTTCTCATGTTTTCTCATAAAATTTCCATGGTTCATCGATAGTTAAGTGCTTATTACTGATTTTTATTGTCATTGCATAAAAGAATAGGAGGTAAGTTTAATAAGCTTTTGATCCTTGGAAGTTTATAAAAGCTTTACTGGGAGAGATTTTCCTGATCCTAATAGTGAGAGCTTGGTTTGTCAAATTGAGTACATCCTCAAAATCCTCGATCGAAACATCCTTGCTATTGCAAGCAACACACAAAGAATCTATAATATAAAATAGAGCAGACTTCAATAAGCCCATTTGACAATCTCAAATAGACTCATTTAACGGTCATTAACATCCCTCTCAAAACAATTCACATTGATGGAACGGGTTAGCCCTAGTGCTTAACAAGACAGGCAGAAGCGATTCTATCATATGATGTTTCTTTCTAATTAGTTTGCTGCTTTATCAAACTAATCAATTGCAATTGTTAAATGTTTGTGCATAATTATTGTTAGACTTGATATATCACTTAAACATCTTGAAGATAATTCTTCGATGGTCTCTGTTGGGTGTTATTAGAATAATGCAAGAGATGAATGGTTAAAATGTAGGCCGTATTCCATTTTGCTGGGATGTATCACATGGTAACATGTTTGTCAGCGGGTTGAAGCCTTTATCAGGATGGTGCTGTAGCTGTTTTGTAAAATCCTTTTTACCTACCTCTTTACATCATTCTGTAGTCTTCACCCACTGAATATTTAAAAATTTCCAGTTGACAGTCACTACCCCTCTCTTTTTTCTTGAAGCATTTTAATCTTTGAAAATCCAAATTCAGTTGCTGGAAACTTCTATTTTAGATGAAGTCTTTGCATCAGAACTACAATTCCAAACTTACCTACTGCAGTGTTGCATTCAGGGTGGGCTAGGGCATACGTGCTAGTGTGTCCTGAAATGGCCAAGTCTATTTTGTGATCGGAAACAAGAGAATAAAGATGGAAAAGTGCATGAAAGGACTAGAAGTCCTCTATATGAAAGAGAGTGGAAATGAAATGGAAAAACTAAGAGCTTAACCTGAAAGAACTTGACAAGAAATAGGGCTCCAACTCTCAACAATCTTTGTGCACTTGAGCCAAAAATTTGTAGTTCCTTCAAAATCTTTAGACGTGGAAGCCCAAAGGGATTCCGTGAATGTAATTTTGTCCTACAAATCTTCCCAAGGAGTCTCTCTTTCATCAAATATCATCCCATTTCTTTCCTACCAATCCACTCAAACCAATGCCAAGACCGCGCTACTCCACAGAATCTTAGCCTTGAACCAAAGCCATCTAAGTGAATCACAAAGAGAGAAACACAATCTTTAGGAATTACCCAAAGGATTCCAATCGTACCCAACGACCTATTCCACAATTTAGAAGCAAAGGAACAATGCAAAAATAACTGGTCCATATTAGTCTCCCCATTCATGCCTAGAATGCACCATTGTGCGTAAATAGAAAAGTATGGTCTTATTTTTGGAAGAAATCATTTGTATTGAGTTGCTCGTGCCAAGAAAAAACGTGTACCTTCAATGGAGCCTAGGACTTCCAAATCGTGATCGAGGGTAGTAAAATTGGGAAACTTGGCTTATCAATCAATGATTCAAAGAAAGACTTGACAAAAAACTCTCTCGATGAACAAATTGGTCCATTTTCTTCGGTCCAAGAAAGTAAGATCAAACTGCATTGTTCCTTACATTTTTAATTCGGAATTGCATATTCAAATTGGATGATGTTCAATGCCTACCAGTTTTACGAACTTGCTAAGGGTGTATGTGTGTGTGACAGATGCACTTGTGGAAGATACTTGCAATTGCTTTTGTACCTTGACTAGTGTTTCCATGTTTTCTGCCACTGATTTGCTTCCTTATTGCTTTCTCTATGTGGTTAAACACCCCCCTTCTCCCCACCCCCACCCCCCAAAAAAAAAAAAAAAAAAAACTTAAACCACCACCACCAAAAGTTAAGAATAAGTTGCACTTTCTCAGGTTGGGCTTAAATGTTAGAAGTACAGTTTGGGGTTTTTCTTGGCATCGTTTTAACTCCCTCTATAGAACCCCTAAAAATGTGCATAGTAAACGATTTGGACTTTAAACTTTTTCTTTCAAAATTTCCAATATTTTACACTCATTTCTTCTACTCTAAAGTTTACTTCTCAGAGCTTATGATCCAATTATGAATGTTTGAATTTGAAGTTCAAGACTCTGATCCCCACTTTCTGGTGAAGTTGCATGTTTTTGGATTTGAATATTTAAGGTCTTTGGTTTCATTTGCATATTTTTACTGGGTGGTTCTGAATTGTTTTAGATAGTATCTTTTGGTCACAGGATGCCGACTAGGAAATGCTGTCGTTTAAAGGAGAGCACAATTATATTGAGGGATTTTGAATGTGTATTGGATGATTTTTTATATGTCGGTCCATTTGCTCCATTGGTTAGAGCTCCTAATACTGAACATTGAAGGTTTTGCATCTTTGACTTTGGGGGACCATTCGGCTCATTGTCACCTATTTCACTTATATAGCTTGAATTTTTTTGTGATGAGGTATGGTGGTTGAAATGTAGATATAGTGCCTGACTAATGCTAAAATTAGAGATGTCATGATGTGAGATAGGTTAACTAGACAATCTAAAGAAGCTCCACCAGAAAGCCCTTTACCGTTCAGGAAACCTTTTTTTTTGTTTCCAGGTAGTTTGTTGTTAAGTGCACCCATTCCCCCTTTTCCTTACAGACAAGATAAATTGAAATCTCTCTCTCATCTCAAGAAACTTTCAATTTTACCTGGTTACTCTCTATGCATATATCATTTTCTACACTTTTAAAAAAAAAAATCAGTTGATTACTGCTTTGGAATTGCAAGACAATCAGGATGAAATAAGCTTACCTGATATGTTGTTGCCCGTAGCAGCTCCTCTTTTAGGTTATACTCAAATGACAAGTTATGCGTCAATGTGAAAACTGGCGACTAAAATGCAGGGTTTCCTAGTAAATGAAAGATTTTTCTCTTCAACCTCCGAAAGAAAAAGAAAGTTTTTTCGCTTCAAGTGTCGATTACTCCATTGGTTCAATTTGTTTTATTTGCTTAACTTCCCTGTTGATTTATTTGATGCTTGTCCTTTTTGTTTTTCATTTTCCCATCTTGATACTTCTCTAATTGGTTACCAAGTAAATGATTAAATTGTCATGCTAAAAGCACAGTAGTTATGTTTCTCAGGATGCAAAGGAGCATCTTGCTGCGCTGGCTGACAAGCTCGGGACATCCCTTTCAGATATAGATGTATGGAAATCCAAGTGATATATCTTGGCTCTATTTGAATGATATTGAAAGCAATATTTTAGAATTTAGAGTACCTGTGGCCCATGGTTTATTTTGGGCTTATCTTGTTTCAATTTGTTTTATTTTGAGTATAGCGGGAGACTAGATCTCAGCATTATGTTTCCTTGTTATAACACGCTGTTTCCCCCCATATATTTCAGTTGTCAGTGAAATCACCACATTCTTCTGTTGATGCTGCTGAACAAGGTGATGTTGTATGCTACGGAAAACTACGTCTCATTGTCACAGTTTTTTTTTAAATTTTTTAATTTTCAGTTGGTATCATTATTTTTCCATTCTGTTTTTTTTTGCATAATTTGTACAATGCAACAGTGGTATATAGATGCTTACTAAGTTCAATAATTGTTTCAAATTAGAAATACTTTTCAAAGGGTGAAATCCTATCTCCACGACACATATTTAGTATGCACGGTTTAGTAGTAAAAGAAGTCAAATGTTTTGAGCTCTGCTGCTAAACTAGTGTGATTACTAGTTGTGATGCTAGGTTTGGGAAAATTGAATGGGGTTAAAACCAAATATGCTTGTGTTGTGTCAGATTGTTGACTAACATTGAGTGTACAATCTATGATTGGTCTACATGTGAGATATGCATTTTAAACATCCTTGAGAAATACCTTATTTAACTAACAACATAATTCACAATTCATAATTGGCTTCTTGGTATTCTGTATCACTTTCGGTATAAAATGTGAGGGCTACATGGTTCAAGGAAATGATATTGGCCATTGGCTTGGAGGGGGGCACGGAGATCATCAGTCACGATCTGTTGGGCGATACATATGAAATGCTGAATGGAAGGAGTTTGACATGGCAGGAAATTCAAGCCATGTGTGGTATTGCCCTGTACTCTGTGATTGATGACGGTGAGTCACCCAAGATGTCTTGAAGGCAGCCACGAGTCGAGTGAGACTCATGTATAACACGGACTGTGCATCGGTCTTGCAATGAAAGATGATGTTCCTGCTACGGTTTGGGTAGCTGAGTTGATATCTGCTGTTACTTTAAACTATGATGGTTTTGACCCTTTTGGGGTTTCTGCTGTATTAGTATGTATTAAAGAGAAGGGGAGGGGGGGAGAAGTTACTACATGAAGAGGTGTTTCTTTTTGCAATGCTAAAGTTTTAATGTGCATTAGTATTCGGCTTATATGTATGGTTATACATGACATGCACCAAAGGCTTTATGCATTGAAGCAGTGAGAGAAAATGTGGAGCATATGTTAAACAGTTCAACGTATTGATTGTAGATTTTGTGCAATCGGAATAATTATCTTTTGGTAGAGCTGTTGAACACCTAGCTTATTGATTTTAGGTTCTGTAAAAGGCAAATAATTTGGCTGTTTGAACATATTGTTGGTAGATTCTGCACATTGAGCTGTTAAACAATGAGGTTATTAATTTTTAGGTGCTGTAAAATGCAAATAATCCTGCTGTCTGTTGAGCTCCATTAATTTCTATTAGTAACAAGAAACTCATTTAACCACTAGTTGTACCCTCTCTTTCACAAGTAGCATCCACTTTGGGCAAGGATGTGATGATTTCATATTATTATTCTTTTCATGATTCTTCATTGCTTTTATCATTTGGGATGTCTATATTACTGTTTCAACATTGAAGAAGTAAAAATTAGTTTTACTTTTGTTGTTAAGCAATTTGGTCTTCTGATTCTGTCCCGGTTATGTTTTTTTTGGCCACTAGATTATGATGAAAAGGCTGAAGATGCAGTTGATTATGAAGATATTGAAGAGCAGTATGAGGGACCAGAGATCCAAGCTGCCACCGAAGAGGACTATTTGTTGCCAAAAAAGGACTACTTTCCTTCACAATTTTCTGTGGCTAATTTGGAGAACAAAACTTCTGTGTTTGATGATGAAAATTATGATGACGATGACGATGACGATGACGGTGACGGTGATGGTGATGGTGATAATGAAGATACTGAAAAACAACATGAGGTGGTGGATAATAATGTTGGATTTCAAACTATTTCTTCATCAGGTTCAATATAGCATCCTTAGTCTATGTTATTGATGCACATAAGTTGATGGTATTGTTTAATCATATTCGCTATCATTCCCTTGCATCAAATTTGATATCCATAAACATTTTTTTGCTTCTATAGCGTATTAAAATTTTATGTAGGTTAAACTTGTTGTGTACCAAAAAAAGGCAAAACCCATATAAGAGTGTAATAAAGGATCGACCTCGACATGCTGAATTCATGTATTGACCTCGAGTAGGGGTGTTAAACAAGCCGAGCATTGGCAAGCCTTGATGTGGTCAGGCTCAGCTCGTATTTTTTAAGGTCTGCTCAAGCGCGGCTCGGGCTCGGATACAGAGCTTAAAATTTTGTTTAGGCTTGACTAGTTAGAAAAACAAGCTGTTCGGGCTCGAATCTGAGCTTAGGCTCAAACTCAAGCTCAAAAAATGGAACCTGTTACTCTCTCAAACACCATAGGTTCAACAAGAGAATATATATAGAGAAATTGTAATTGATCATTCATTGTTGGGTTAACATAAGAAAAGGTATAAATTACTGTCTAATATAAATAAACATCAACTTTTGCATCAAAAAAACCAAAGCTAAATGGAGTAGGGTTAAAAAAAAATGATAAACACAAAAAGGAGTTGTCTTTCACTTTAAACATTTCCACCAATCACCATCAATGAGTACAACCATCGCAATACTGCCACCCCTACAGAAAATTGTTCATCTATTAGAACACTAGCACCAATAATCCATAATAGTAAATAAAGAGTCACTGTCCCTCGATCTGTTTATCTACATGAGTTCTACCATAATAGTATTTTATGATGTAGTGTAGCGTTAAAGAGAAGACAAGAACAACTTACGAGATGGTTTAGATCTATTGATTTTGGTGTTACTTGAAGGAATCGACCTCGACTCTGAGGCTTGAGATTAGGGTTTGAGAATTGAGAGAGAGAGAGAGAGAGGGGACTTGAGGATTCTCTTGGAACAGTTTGTCTTGTTTGTTTGGTTAGGCAAAATCTTTTTGGAACTAATTTTTATTAGTCACATGATTAGAAGTTAGTCATGCAATCAGTCGGTGAGTGAGTTAATTGGGATTTGGGATTTGTATGTTGAGTTGTTGACTGGAAGAGGTATAAAAATTAAATAAGTTTAACAATAAAATAGTCCCCAGCTTATATGATCAACCAAATAGCTCGAGCACCGGTGTTCTCGTATAGAAACGAGCTTAAAATTCTATTCATGCTCGACTTGTATTACAAATTGAACAAACTTGAGTGAGCCAAAAACGATCCGAGCCAGAGCTAGAGCCAGACCAAAGTTAGACCTATCTCGTTGTATTTAAATAGCCCTAACCTTAAGGGAGGTGCACTCAAACGTTGAATTAATGCCCAATTAAAACATAATTCATTCAATTATC